ACAGCCTTGCCCCCTTTGCAGGTTGGACGCCAATTTATTATTTCTGCCGAGATAACTAAACCTATATATAGGTCCTAACACAAGTCAAGTTAATATTCTTGATGTACAAATTAATATACCCAGTGGTATACACCACTGGGTATATATACCACCTCAGTCAATCTGTTCTCTCGGAATGAAAAATAAAAAAAAATAAAAATGCACTAAATTGGCGGAACCTAACGTTACCGAGGACCAACGAATAGAAACCGGAAGAACCCGTTCATTTTGAGAGCCCCCTAAATTTATAGTACATTATCACTAAGAACTCTTTTATAGTACATCATGTTTTGTCCATTGGGATTTATATGTCGAATTGCGATTCGGGAGGACAGGGTGACCGTGTCTGTTGGGTTTACTAGGTATAGTACACGGTTTACCAGCGCATGTTTTAAAATAATAAGGTACTTAGGGCTGAGGACACCACCTTGTGGGGTGTCTAGTTCAGTCTCCAGTGACATATGCTCCTGGAAGAATACAGATGACTATTAGTTGGATAAAGTAACCTCTAATCTGGCAAATAAACCAGCCACCAATATCCATAATGGCGACCTCACTCGTTAGTTAGTCTAGTTCATTTATTATGCACCCCATACCCATCTTGTAGGCGGTAGTGGAAAGGGTTACAGAGGCACATAATGGGGTCAAGGACTGAACCCCACAATTCATTTAGCTAAGCAAGTTACAATTTTGATGAGCTAGTTACAAAATTCAGTATAAGTCGTCACATCAACGATGGGTTGAAGATCGACCACAAGTACAGTTTCTAAATTAAGCAACTGACATATGTGGAGAGCTAATGTCACAATTGATATGTTTATCCTGCACACCGCCCCCCATCCAGTGGGCAGCGGTGGATAGGTTACAATCACTCTTAGTTACTACCTACAGTTAGCAAACTGGGGATATTTGGCTAAAACCAAGTGACCTCACTCGGTGTGCTACGTAGCATTGTCAAGAGGAAGACTTGATTTTAGGAAGGTGGTGTAAGACTTGCCTGTGTGCAGGGTAAATTTCATGTGGATTTATTTTGTTCTTGGTTGGTGTGTGTCACCCATTTGACAACTGTGTGTGAATTTGATGTTATCAGCACTGTATAATTTTGTGATGGTCATGCCATGTTGATTATAGTAGCTGTATTGACATGCAAATAATATTTTTTTTACAGAAATCAAATTGCAGATTTGTAATTAATATTTAATTCCATGTCATTATATTATTATTGTCATATAGTACAGTATTGTGCTTTTATTAGTAAGGGCAAGAAAAACTAATAATGTAGTGTTACCATTTTCATTAATATTGTGAACCGAACAATCTAGTGGTGATCTCTTTAGCATAAAACTAATTTACAGATATAAATATTAATCCAAGGATTGGTTTATTTGTAGAATTGAACTCCCTGTCCCCCTTCAGGTTGCTTAAGATAAAAGCAGCCTGGATGGGGGCAGAGTGGACGAGATAGTGAGCTACCAGCAGCCTAGGTGGGTGTAACTTGCTGCCAGATCATGTTAATTACTGCTTCTCATTTTAATAGGCATACTTGTACAATTCCTAAACCATACTTTCATACACACTCCCACATACTTTCTATATCTAAATTTATGTATCTCTCTTTCTAGATCTGTATATCTAACTACATCTGTATCTATAACTATCTATAACTATATATCTATATATATACTGTACTGTGTAATACAGTTTTCCTCTAATTGTTATCTACTCACAACTGAGGGTCCCAGGTTTAATTCCCTGTCAGGACAGATGGCTGGACACATTTCCTTTCACCTTATGCACCTGTTCACATAGTGGCTTTGTTTACCTAGTGGTAAATAGGTACCCAGGAGGTAGCTAAACTGTTGTGGATTGCATCTTAGTAAGGTTAGTAGTTTGCCAAGGAGGACCTTGATAAGCCTAAGTACAGACTTCATGACCTTAACAACAGAACACCATATGCTCTAGGACAGCTACTTTTCATTCAACAATATTCATTTATCATTGTGGTGACTTGTGCAATGCTCATGGCCCTGGATTCTTTTATACTGTTCACATCCATGGTGATTGAAGTCTTACACTGAACACTTGCTGTTCCTCATCTTTAGCAGATATGACAGTCAAATTTTGCTGGGTTCTCCGCCTTATACTGCTGTTGCCTCTAATGACCTTGCAGATGCTGCTGCTAAGGAAGTCGTTTGTGCCGCTCTCATCTCCCTGTAGAAACAAATTCCATATTCGAATTTCTAAACTGTCTTTCAAAACTCAATCTGTTATCATTGGAGAGATAGATGGTTAGTTGTTACAAATAACATATTGCATACTTTTAAATATGACCTATTCCTGTGGCTTTCCTCCTCCTGCCATAAATGGAAATGTGAAACGTCTTAAGACTAGGTTACATATTAGCCACAATTCATGAGCACTTAAATAAAAAACTTGTACCTTACTTTCTGAACTGTATTGCCTTAGGAGTCACACACCTCACAGAACATCTTGATTTCAATTTTGGAGGAGACCGAATGATTGGAGTTTTTGCTTTCTTTCTGAATTAAATGTCCCTCAATTAAATCCTCAGTGAATCTAATACTGTACCTATGATGTGGCAGTTGCCAGATACCAATTGTGTTGTATTCCCAAGACTAAAATATATTATTAATCTTTTCAATAATATATATTATTTTTATAATTTATTATGGGGCTACTTTTTTATGGTCTAATTCAGCTGCAACATTATACCAAGGTCCAGTGTAAATCTGGCACAGAAAAAAAAAAATATGCTGGGACCTCTCTTTACTCAAGGCCCCTAAGCATGTGCTTATTTTGCTTAATGGTTAATACTGGATACTTTTGACATTGCTCATCTTGTGTTTTTATTTTCATTTTGGCATCCAGAATATCCAAGATTTTTTTATAATATTCTGTGGCACAGATGGTACTAAATAGTGTTCTGGGCTTGGTGCTTTCTTTTGATAATTACAGTACTTGTCTGATCATCATTTTTGCTAAAAAATAGATCCAGCTATTGAAATTATATATGTAGCTCTGCTTCAAAGACATCGGTAGATAATTGGTAACTTACGTGTTTGCTTAAGTCAAAAGTCTGACCATGCATGAGCTTGAAGGTAGTACACACACACATTCTCTTCTCCCTTCAGTCACAATAGTGCAGTCAGTTCAACTAATTGGACTATAGTTCAATTCCCTGGCATGTCAAAAACATTTAGACACGTTTCCATACACCTGATTCATCTGTTAAATTAACAATAAATAGGTACCCAGAGGTTGAACAACTGTTGTAGGTTGCACCCTGGTGGTCGGTTGTTGGCCTTGCGGCACCTCAAACCCTAACATGCTGCCTGTCCTGACATCCCTCAGTAACCTAACAGTTTCATTGAGTCTCTTATCCAAGAGTTGAACTTTAAACTGACTAATCCACTTTTCTTGTCCATAGTGAAAATTAACAAGATAGATGAGGTGCAATTTTTTATCGTGTCTAGCAATCATTATCTTTTTTTTTTTTAGAAGTTCAAATTAATGAACCGATTCGGTAAATTGTGAACCAGTATCATATTAGCTGCATCAAAAGCTGCATTGCAAGAGCCATTGGAGGAGACTAGTTGTAAGATGGAGGTGAGAAACCACCACCATGAGAGTTTTGAAAGGTACAGGTTCAACGTGACTGAAGAAACAAGATGAGGAAGAGAGAAGCTCAAGATAGAAGAGACAATTCCAACAAGAACTAGAGCTAGTGTTATAAGTGAAGAATGAGCAAGAGAAGACTAGGCTTTGAGAATTTGATGAGCAGGCAAAAGCTGGCTTTAGAGCAGGAAAAAGACAAGAAATGAGGAGGCTGACATAAATAGTACTTTAAAAGAGCAACTGTTAACACAAGGTCTGTTGAGTTTTGCTTCCCAGTCTAAGAAGAGGAATATCAGGAAAAAGGATATTCATATCTTTCTATCAGTTTGCTGAATTTTCGTTTCAGCACTTTGAAAAAGTGGCTATCAAGTAGTTGCCTATGGAGTACTGTGCATTGAGGAGAACCAGATAAGGCAAGGTAGGAAGGTATGTGAGATGTGGAGAAGGTGGCTGAGGCACTATCGTGAGACAAACAATTCTGGAGCAGATCATTAGATAGGGAAAGGCACCTGGTGAGAAGTTAATGCCTCAGAGAAAGGAACATTATTCTTGTGTTTAAAGTGCAGGATGGACAGTTCCAGTGCATAGTGAGCAAAGAAAGAGAGAAAACAGGGTGTTCACCACAACTACTAATGAACCAAGCTGGTAGATATAAATGTTAACTTTATATTGTTGGGGTCTCCACAGATAGGGAAAAAGACTTATGCCTCTGCAAGCCAAAGCACCATGGCCAAATTTCCAGCATAGGGAAGAAACATTCCTTGGCAAAATATTTCAATCCCTTTCCCTTCCATCTTAAGGCCAACAGTTTCAGAGGATTCTACTGTCTAATATATTCTTGGCAATATGGAGGGGGGTTAGAACATGTACAGCACTTAGAGGGCAGACAATGAATGTGTCGGCTTGGACAATGGAATGCTCCTGGCCTTCTAAACAACAGTGGTCTTGATGAATTTATCACCATGATTGTCCTGAAGATGCATGTCCACAACTAAATGTGGTGCAGGATAATGACAGTCCACGTTAATAAAGATACTAGGATGGAGTTGCAAAGTGGACAAAAGTACCATCATTATGAATATCCAGGGAGACAGTAATGAAGAGGTGGTCACACTGAATAACTACAATATGTCACTGCTACTGAAATGGCATGGAAGGTATGTGGTTGTCAGGGAGCATCCCTCTGGGTAAGGGAGGAGCAGATCTTCCAGAGGAGTACGACTCATGGGCCTGGTTACCCACCGTGTGAGCGACAATGCATTATGGTAATGATGGCAATAAAAAGTAATATTATTTTTATAGTGAAAAATAAAAAATTATTGTAATGAATTATATACCATTTTTATTTACAGGAGAATAGTGTACAGTACTGGTCAAAAGTATGCACCATCCTGCTCTCGCCCCTCTTGCACAACAAAAAATATGCAAGAAAATTTATAGTAAATAATGTATTAGTCTTTTAATACTTGCTTGGGTGGCCTTTTCTCTTCTTAACAGCCTAGAGACATTAAGGTAGTGAAAATACCAAATTTCTTGTGTGTTCAGGCGAGATGTTTGCCCAGGATTGCCGGATGGCCATCTTGAGCTTGGGTTTAGAGCTCACGTCGTTTCTCCTGCGGTGCACAACCACTTGGGTTGGAAGGTAAAGCGACAGTCACGCATAATGCACGTCAGTTTTTGATTCCCAACCGTCCAAGTCATTGGGCTCCATTCCTTTCCCCATCCCATCCCAAATCCTGATCCCTTCTAAGTACTATATAATTGTAATGGTGTAGTGCTTTCCCTTGATAATTCCCTTCCCCTGCAGATCCTCCTTTACTATGTGCCAGAGGGTTTCATTGGAGTCGAGATCTGGGCTGTTACCTAGCTCATACTTGATGAAGGGAACATTACAATCAAGCCACTTGGTTTTCTTATGGCGAGTTTTTTCTTAGGTAGGGGTTTCAGCAAGCTTGTTATTCTTGAAAGTGCTTCCCAAAAACCTTGAAGTGAATCAAGCATACCTGCAGAGTTTTGAGAGTTATACATCCCAAGCCCAGCACAAGCTGTTTACCTGGAGCAGCTTTGTGAATATCTGTCAGATTCCTTCAAGCTCACAAACGTCGGTGTGTTTCAGTAGGATGGTGCTCCTGCTCATATCACCAAATCTGACACCAAGTGGTTTGATGACTGCATGGTACCCTTCATAATGATCTCAACCCAATCGAAAACCTCTGGCACACAGTAAAGGAGGATCTTCAGGGAAAAGATGCGAGCTCTAAACTCAAGCTCAAAATGGCCATCCGTCAGTCCTGGGCAAACATCTCGCCTGAACACAAATTTAGCACTTTCACTACCTCAACATCTCAATTATATATACATTATTTAGTATAAATTTTCTTTGATATTTTTATACAATAAGAATTCACCTTAAAATTATCACCTGAATTTTTTTTTAACTCATTTTGCAGTTCATAAAATGTTTGCAAAAAACTTGACCTACAATTTGTACGTCCTGGCTTGGTGCCTTTTGATAACTACCAGTACTTACAGTTTGCAATCTGAATAATACTCTACAGCTTAATTGGCTGTTTCCTTTTATAATAAACTTCCTAATATTGTATTGTCTCTGTTTCTTTAACCCACAAATGTCAACCTGTTAAGAAGCAGGTGGTGTGATGCTGCATACTGTAACATCCAATTTCAAAATTCACAAAATAAATATATTATGCATGCTTTGTTTTCCTCGTACCATATGATAAAAGCAATCAGATAATGTCACAATAACGTAGCTGAAGACAAGATGTCCAAACCACACATCAGAAAATGAAGAAATGATGACATTTTGGACCATTATCGGGGCGTGTAATATACAACTTGGTAATGGTCCAGGACAGACCGAAATGTTGTTTCTTCGTTTTCTGATGTGTGGTTTGGACATCAAACATTTTAGGTTCATAATTATAAACAAAGAAATCATTAGTCACATAAAGGTTAAAAAAAAAAAAAAATACATTAAGCAGTCTGCTGTCATATTATATAATAAAAAAAAAAGTTACAGTATATGCAAATATCCCTGTGCAAAAGTATTGATATACTGTACTGCACTGCATGGTAGAAAAAAATACAAAACACCATTATGTACATTTCCTTATCTGGTTCCTTACAATAATTGTAGTAAACACTAACTCTACATTAAATATGTGAAAATAACGCTTTGGCGAGTCCTAGACGATTATCAAGTCCGAGAGTGTAAGGAACATTTTAACAGGTGACACTTCATATAGGTGAGAAAGCAGACATGTTAAATCTATCCCAGACTTAAAAAATTTAAACTGAGTAATCAAGGTAGAACATGTGTGTTGACTAGAGTTTCCCAAACACAAAATGGACAGCTCTCTACTGGAGTTTAATGATTTACTGCATGTGGAATACAGTACAATATAGAACTAAAATGTTATATTAAATGATTACGAAACATCCAAAAAATAGCCTTCTAAAACACATTAATTAGTGTTAACAAAAAATAGATTTTGGGAGGAGAGAATTCTGCGAGTATTTTCCCAATTTTTTTTAAACTAGAACTTAAACAAGGTGTTGATATATGACTGCTGTTTTATAGCCAGAACAACAAATCAAAACAGCTGACCAGGTGTCAACAATATGACAGGCTGGCATGCACTTCTATTTAACATTTTTATTGTACAGTACTGTATTAAGAGTTTATAGTTATTTGTTATTAATATACTGAATTTGTTAGAAGTTAGTTTATTGTAACTATTTGCTATTACTGTATTTTGAATTTGGAAGTAATCTCTATGTACTGTATTACATTTACAAAATGCAGAACACAACCATTCATCCACACTTGTGCCCACCCACTTGCTATTTATTGTAAGATATATATCCCTTTTCAAGTTTAAGTTCGACATGTTTAATTGTATTCTAACATTTTGACTGTAAAATACAATGTCGGCTGGCTAATTGCTACTGAACCTTGCAGTACAGAGATGACAAATCCAACGCAGGTGACCTGACATTATTATACTTAAGATATTATATCTTTGAATTTGATTTAATAGCTATCTTTCTTAAATTTAAATGGCTACCAATAATTTGACTGTGTAAACACTGTACAGTATACCATAAGATAAACTATGCTTGCTTATCTGTACTACCTGTACTGTATATGGGAAGGAGCCCTCACCGGATAAGCCAGACATTCAGAGAAGTTCAAAAATTAAAATACTGTACATATTTGCAATATTCGCAAGTTATACAACGAATATAATTAAAATTTTAACACTATAAATAAAAAATTATTATTTAAACTTGAACGTACCTTGTTGTAGTTCATCATCTTGTTTGATACTGTAGATCTTGAAATGTGTAGTTCTTGAAAATTTATGCAACCCAATCTCTGTCCAGATTTCTGTCAGAATATGGTGAAGTTTTGCCAGTAAATTATCCAGAGGCAATTTTGGCCGGATATCCAAATATCTAGTTAAGCGGACTTTGCATTACAGTATTACAATTGAGAAACCCCTTAATATTTGGCAAAACAAAAAGGCAAATGTTAGTTAAACTCATAAATGAGTTTGGCACAAATTACTGAATTTTTGAGGTTACACTATACAGTATAATATTTTCTTGTAAACAGTTAATTTTTAATACAGTACTGTACTAGTATTTCTACAAAAGTCTGTTCAGTGGGACAATTTGACAACATCAAGGTGACAGGACATTTGGTCTTCACTGCAAGGGGTAAGCCAAAAAGTTTAAATTATATTTGCATACATTTACTGGTGTCTACATGTTAAATTTAATTACAGTATTGTCAAGAAAAACAGCAGAACCAATCCAGGGTCAGTAATAATGGAAACTTCAATACACTAACCAAACTCTACTCAAAAATTGTTAAATTTATTAAATACTCAACAACATTTGTAGTTATAAAAATCCCCTAATTGGTGAGGTATGTTTAGTATACTATATTCATCTAATTTAAATTAAGGGTTAATTTAATCTATAGAAGAATAATTATGTTTTAAATCTTAATTATCAGGAAGAACTTTGTAAGGGTTTAAGATTCCATTGGGATCCATCAATGTTTTCATCTGCTTCATTAATGTTATAGCACCAGATGACTTGGAATAGTGAATATAGTTCCGCTTTTTGAAGCCAACACCATGTTCTGCACTTATGCTGCCTTTCACTTTTGCTGTCCACTCGTATATTACAGGCTCAATGCGATTCAAGATATCCTGCAAGGAAACGTGTGAATCAATTTTCATTTAATCTTTAAATCTATGAATGCCTTACATAGTTATGGTCACTACCTCTTGCATAACAGGGTCATGTGGTAACGTTGGTTTTGTTCTCGTCTCACAATTGGGGATTCCTGGACAGAACATAAATGGTTGGACATACATTTCATTTTAACTAATGCCTCTGTTCATCTAGCACTAAATGTCCAACCCATCCTCTCGAATAATACATAGCATTTTGACTTGTATTTTGGCCATTGGGGATTTATGATATACTGTACTTTAAACCATAGTGGCTTGCAAGACTGATGGGGCTGTCCTGTTTTCTGTTCATGGGGCCTTGAACAGGCAATTTAGTGTATCTTTTTGTGATGTGACAAGTCAAGAGGATGGGGTGAAATATATAAATAGATGTTGGCCAACTGTTGTGGGGTTGCATCCTGGAGAAGCTCGGTAGTTTGACCTTGGAAGGGGGGGGGGAGGGGTTAAGACAAGCCTAAAGTATATACTGTACATACACAGGCTTCCTGTCCCAGACACCAGGTATTATTAAATTATAATAACTTGATTGTGCCAAGACATGGGTGACTAAAATACTCAAACATCATGGATTTTTCAATTAAGAGGTAAAGCATATGCATTGATAAAATCTTCAAAACGAGAGAAAACAAACCTTCTGAAACTCGTTGCTAGTGATATTTAAATGAAGGTTTCCATCTCCAATGTGGCCATAGCCACAGCAGCGAATGACACTAGAGCCCAAGTGTTCTTTCATGTCCTCTACCATCTTGTAGAAATGAGGTAATGGCAGTGAAATATCATATCTGTAGAGGTGTTAAGAGCATTAATTTCACATACCTGCATTAACAACTTATATATTAACTAATGCAAGCTCACCTGGTTTTGGCATAAACTTCATAGTGCAATTGCCAAGGACATACAGTATTTTTTATGTTTTATAAATGTTCAGGTAAAGTCAATGTCAAAATGTTTCCAAACTCAACCATTTACATTTAAAAATCAAAGTGATGAAAAACAAAAAAAAAACAAAAAATTAAAATATAGCCGAATTAAAAAAATAGCACAACTCTCAGAGTGCCTTAAGGTGCTTTGCACAGTACAGTGGTTAAGCACCAGCCTTGCATACAAAACAAGGATTACCACACTTTAAAATAATCACATACACAATATAGCATTCACATTATCTCTTAAATATATGGACAGTGTGAAGTTTTTTCCCTGCTACCTACTCTCAGCATGCAATTATCAGCAGCCAGGCCAGGCAACATGCACCCCTTTCTATTTCCTAAACCCATGCAAAGATCTAAAATTTCAAGTCATATCTCGCAGCCAAAGTGTAGATAAATATTTATTGTTGTTTGAAAGATATTTTGTATCAAAGAATTGACACTAACAATAAATAGTTAAATCATCAAAATACATTCAAGGAAAAAAAATAGAGAATGGAAAAAAAAGAGAGGAAATAATACTATTAATAGTAGTAATAAACAAATTAGCATTCAGAGTGGTAGCATTCCATATTATTCAGGGCAAAAAGACACAACCCAATCTTACCTAAAATATCAAAGGGAAAGGAAATCTTTAATCAAATACAACCTCTGAAGCTGAAAGAATGTAATTATAAAGAGCTCCATGGTAAAAAAAAAATGGTTGCTTGAATATAGGGGATAACCGGAAGGCAAGGGTGAGAGAGACAACACATTACAGAAAGTGATGAAATGCTTTACACACCAAAAGAATGATTTAGGTGCCTGCAACTCTTATATGCAGCCAAACTAGCCCTTGTGGCATAGCCACACAATTGAATATGACCCTGCACACTAGAACTTTGGTCTTAAACTAAATTTACCAGAATTTACCCGAGGGCCACTAACACTAGTGGCCGCGACGAGGACAGGAAGGTCCCATCAAAAGGTCCCTCCATTTCCAATGAACGTGTATAAATTCACAAGTTATAAATTTGCTCTGATGGAAGGCTGATGGTACGTCTCCAAACCTAATACCCCTCAACTTACTCAGCACTCACTCACAGCTCATGCTCACATTCTACTGGAACAGTATGCAAGCACTGCAAGTGTATCAAATCTGCCTCAAAATATACATCATCTTGCTAGTACTTATCTTAATAGGGGTTTTAATATTGAAATTGTCTGTAGTGAAATGGGTCCAGGTGGTGTGTGTATGACATCACTCAATTTTAACTTTAAAGTGCACTCAAGAAAGGCAGAGCAACTTTTGGAGACAAGGACCTAACATACAATGCCAGGTCTCATAATCCCTATACCTGAGCCAAACTTGAATACGTTTAGGCCAATATCTTTAACTTCCTTCATGTGCAAGGTCCTTGCGAGGCTTGTTCTCAGTAGGCTAATAATGCAAATCAAAGGTCAACTCACTTCTACCTTGCATGGCTTTCTCCCTGGGAGATGTACACAATCTTTCTTTGCCGAGTACTTCAGACAGGCAGGAAGCAAACACTCGTGTAGCCTGTCTATCTTCAAGCTGCTTTTGACACAGCTAATGGGACACAGTATCCTGGAATAACTGACCTCTTTTAAATCTTGGGGAAGATTTGTTGAAATGGATTAGGGGGTATTTAAATAACAGAACAGCAGCAGTCAAGGTTCTAAGAGTACCTATAATGCCCCCTTTGGATTGGGCACTCCTCAGTCCTACGCTTTTCAATGTGCTGATGCAATGCCTGATAGCCGAAGTACAGTACCTACATAAGTCGATGAGACTGTCATCTGCATAGCAGATGACATCTGTGTTATTGCAAACAGTGGTAACCGGCTGCAGACTCTCCTTCATATACTTTCAAATAAATGCACTGAATGTGGGCCTATCTCCACAGGGAAAATTAGAACCCTATGCTCCCCCTCCCCAATTTTGTTTTTAAAGCCAATGATCAGTGCATCAAAAACTGCGGGCAATTAAAATACCTTGGTATAAATATTAAGAGTGATATTTTAAGCGAACTTAGGTCCCTAGTCGACTACCATGCCCTGCATCTTATTAATCTCCCCAGCACTAAGCTGAAAGCTTTAGAGAAAATTCAAACTGAAATTATGAGGATAATTCTTGAAGCCACCAGATGCACAAGAATAATCAACATGAGGGAGGAGCTGAAACTCTCAACCATATGTGAAAGAATTGAGCAGTTCAATACCACCTTCTGTGTAAGGGTCATGAGAGATCCACCATCACCCACACTCCTTAAGAAACTGATTGGTGATGTTTGTACACGTGAAAGTGTTGCGAACACACCAATGGGCAACCTATATGCAAATTGGTTGATTAGAAGTGTTGCCAAGCTCATTAACTTATTATATGCAATGTGCTAATTAACCATATTCTATTATATCTGTACCCTGAAATACAAGTGTCTTACACATCCATCAGCAAAACCCAGCACTCCTCAAAGCAACAACAGTTGAAACTATTGATTTCTTTGTAAACAACTTACGGCCTCACGAGCACTATGCTTACGCTGATGGATCTGTTCAAATGTCAACAGGTCGCACTGCAGCAGCCTGTAGAATATACAAAGACAACACATGTACACAGACCATTAAGTGTGAGACAGAATAACTGATTTGGCTCCACACATACAGAATTAACTGCACTACAGCTTGCCCCTAATGCACTGAAAAAAGAGTGAAAGTAATTTTATGAGCTTGAAAATCAGCTCATCAAGCACTGAAAACCCAACATGCAAAATAGATACTACGAATGGTGTAATATCCATTATAAACATCATTAATACACAAAGCAAGATTTTGTCTCATTTGTTTGAATACTATCTCACATAGGTGCTGTCCAGCATGATGACAGACAAGGCAGCTAAAACTGCATGTGATAAGCCTGAAATTTAGATAGATATGTGCACCCCAATCTGTTATAAAAGCTGCAGTATTTCAGGAAATATGGGATGACAGAAGAGAGTGTCAGACACTGACACTCCAATGGCCAATGATTTCAAACCAAATGGTACGAGGAACTTTGAACTCTGTAATTACTTCATACACTTATGAATATTGGAAGATATTCTTGTGCTCTACCCAGATTTTGCTAGTGTAGGCTAATATGTTCTCCCCCGATTCCATGTATGACTAATCCTGAGAGATGGGGATATTAGATGAACTTACAGAAAGTTTTGATTTACACTTTGTAATTCTTCATATAGTATAGGGTAGCAGACCATTGCTGTGTCTACCCAAGCATGTTGAAAAAAAAAAAAGCATTGAACGTAATAAAACGCCAATTTTTGGGCGAGCCCTGGAGGCTCCCTCCAGGACTGACATTCTAATATGTTAAACATTATAAAGGAAAATACAAAGACATGAGTGACATGATTGTAAGAAAACAGCTTAAGGTTCATCTCATGCCAGTATTGACAAGCTGAACTTGTTACCCATTTTTTTTATATGCATATATTTCTCAGAGTTCAACTGGTAAATATTCTTCATAAGGTAATAAGGCTCATTGAGATGCCAGAAGAATGAAGCTCAATAGTGATTTTTTTTTATATGTTTATGTGGATTTACCCGTCATGTTGCACACACAATACCTATACAGTACCTGCATTTGGAATGAATCAGTTCTGCCTCATACAATATGTTGTAGAAAAAAATCCACTGCATTAGCACACCATCACTACTACCAAGACAAAACACATGCATTCAAACATGTATGAAGCACTAAAAATCTATCCCAAGTCCCAAGCTAAAGCATGCACTACATACATTGCAACTGACTTGTATGTATAGCCATCAACTATGAGTGCTTCTGCAATTCTCTCTCTAATGCTCCAGATATGCTGCATTCGAGAGGGTTCTGTAGCTGTTGTGCCATCGCTAACAATTCCAGATTCTAATGCCTCCTCCAGGAAGATATTTAATTTCTCCTCATCATGAGTACTATTAGATCCTGAAAGTAAGGAATTACCAAATGTTGAAACTGTCTGTATATTTAACTTGTGAGCTTGGAAATAGGTATCCATCTACCTACCTACCTGTTAGTTCTAGGAACCTGCGGCCTGGTTTATAACCAGGCCGCAGGAATACACTGAAGCACATTCTGAAAATGTGCTAACCATAGTCGTGTATGGAATCAGATGGGGAAGCCATAACAACATGGCTGAAAACACTAAACAACGAACTCTACAGGGATGAGGGGGACACCAGCCACCTGAACTGCCTCACTTAACACAAGTTGAGAATGAGGGAATGGACTTTCTTCCAAATTATTTACTTCAAAACAGATACAGATAGATTATATTTATTTCATATAATTACTTCACATAATTATTAACAGGGTATGGCAATATAGATTAACCAAAAACACCAACAATAGTTATAATAAATTATGTTGCATAATCAATTATGAGAATAGTGCATTTACTATAATAAAAAGCAAATATAACAGTGTTATAAACATTACACATTATCTCATTACTTTAGGCAAACAAACTAACCTGATGTCTCTATTAGCATATAAAAGGGATGTACACCAATTGGTGCTTTCAGCTTCAAGTTTTTCTCCACACATTCGATAGAACTCCAGTCAATGAATTCACAAGAGCTTAGGATCTCCCCTAGTTTGTTCTTTGCATCTTTGTAGGTTTTAAGAACATCATCAAAAGTCTGAAGGCCCAAAAATGCTAGGTTCACTGACTGTGGTCTTGGAGGGCAATTGATAGCAACCTGAAAATACAGATTTACAAATATACAAGCTCAATGCTGAAAAATATATTGTGCCTAGAAAGCATATACATGTAACAAACACGTCCCAACAGGAGTTTTCCATTACGTTTCTTGTATCTACACTGCTGACATTCTCCTAAACGCTATGTACACATAGGCAACTAGAGGAAAACGTGTTACTTCCTCTACCTTCTCCATCTTCCTCCCATAAAAAATGGTTCGTGTAGCCTTTAGTGCAATATGAAAGCAAACCAAGATGGGAATCTATTCAAAAGATACCCAAAAGTTCGTGTAAAGAAATAAGCCAAGGAAATTTTTAACTTCATTAAAAAAAAAAAAAAAAAAAAAAAAAAAAAATCAAACTTAGTATTTTGCAGATACAGTCCCAGGTACCTGCAGTACCGAAACAAAATATTACCAGCAACTAATAATCATATTTTTATCTTTGTATTTAGAGAGTATGTTCTAACAACTTGTAACATTAACTCAATAAAATTTTCTGAGAGTCTACTTAATTAAAATATCCAAATTTTATTTTTAAATCTAAGAATAACTTGCTAGTCATAATAAAGCAAACATGGAACAAAGAACACCAGTAATGACAATACTGCATTAAGCAAATTGACAGCAGTCACTATGAATACTGGACTAGTTCAATCAGTAAGAAACTAGTAAAGACAAGTGTATAGAGTTAAGTAAAGCACAGGCAGCCACCTGGTGGCAGCCAGGGTAATGGCCAAGCAGGCCAACTAGTGGTTAACTAGCGTGCTCCTTGATAGCCTCTGTGATGCCAAGGAGAGCTTGGAAGGAACTCTAGTTCATTTGATTCTAGTGGACATTCCCCATCTGGATAGTATCCTCCAGTGCTCCTAATTACCATTAAGACCCAGCTAACACCCCTTAAAACTTTCATGTTGTGTTGGTACCAAACTGTTGCTCTGCATAACTGCATGTTACAGTACCTACCGAGACAGTATTCCTTTAGTATGTAACCAAGCCAGATACAGTAGCCCAGTAATACTTCCAATGTGGACATTAACAAAAACACAGATAGCCTATATAAGATTGGAGAGGAGGCAGGAATAAATGAGAGGCCTAGAGCAACAAATCTAAAGCAATCCCTGCTCACTAAGGTGAATTTAAAAATTATCATAGGCAAGATAGATTCCAGCATAAACAAGGAAGTCACAATAATGTGACATATCTGAGAAAATCTTTGGAGCAATATGGGGATCAAACCAGCACTGTGGGTAACCCCAGGTTAAGGCATGCATCTGGGTTACCTAGGATGGGGATTGCACCAGCGGTCCCTGTCCTGCTGCAAAGATTTTCTCAATATGCCAGCATACCGTGAATGAATTATATATATGGCTAATTACTTAATATACCAGGAAAATGTTTACTATTTTCCTAATGATGCACTTTAGTTATACAGTAGAGCACTAATACTAATACCTTTGTTATTAATCCTAGTGTTCCTTCAGAGCCTATGAAGAGATGCTTGAGATCATAGCCTGTATTGTCCTTTTTCATTGTTGACAAACAATTCACAATTTCACCTGATGCCAAAACTGCCTCAACACCCAAGACAGATCCATGAAGGTTCCCATAACGGAGTAGACGCAACCCACCTAGAAATGGCAAGCTGCATTTTATTAGGATAACGAGTAATAATTCTCGGCATAAAAGCAGTTTAAACTTGCTAAGGATTTCAAGACCAAATAATTAGTAATTAACAGAAGTGTGTTATGAGAAAGTATTGAATGTAGTAAATTATCACATGATATACATGATAGTACTCAGAGTTTTGTTACAAAGTTATTCTGAAATCTTTTGAGGCTGCTGTATTAATATGAGAAAAGACAACTATATACATTATGTATTGACTGCAGCTGAACGAAGAAGGTATCCCCAGTCTCCATTCCAGACATGCCTCATAATACCAATTAAATACTCTTTAAAAATACTGTAATAATAATGACCTTCCTATATAAATATTATAAAATATGAACACATCAAGAGGAAGAGAGAACAAGTGTAGGATATTTTACCTGCATTAGTGGAAACATTTCCACCAATATGACAGCTGCCTTTCGCTCCAAGATCCAACGGTACCATCAGGCCAAACTCGGACACATGTCGATCAAGAGCTTCTAACACACAGCCACTCTGACATGTAACCACTCCAGACCATGTATCTACATTTTCAACTTGATTCATAAGGGTAGTTGAAATAATGATTTCATCAAATACTGGAACACTTCCTCCAACCAGACCTGTATTTCCACCTAAAGGATAAATTACATGCAATTTATTACTTTTGCTTTTAAACAACTGAAGTACTTATGGATTAGCTACCTACAGTTGAGAACAGAAAGCCTGTTAAGTTTATTGAGAGCTTCCTTTATTTGAGGTGTTTCTCTCAACCTTTGTACCCTTGAAATAATTCCAAATCTCACTTTATCTAAACACATGGATATCATTGTCAACTGAATGGAGAAGATTTGTCTTTGCTCTTGATACTGGTTAAATAAGAAAAATTAAATAAAAAATTTGCATATGATTTGAATTAGTCTATCACACTCTTGCAGAACCCTTCGTTACCTTGGGGTTCTGCAAAGTACAGGTTGAGAAATGCTGCCCTACACCAACTATTGACCTTGTCGAAGATGCAATTCAACAGTTCTTTAACTCTTGGAACCTATGAACTGCTAGGTGAACAGAACAATGTGAACTTTTCACATTGGGTGAAAAGAACCAGTGCCCAAATGCTTCTGTTCTGTAGCAGGAATTGAACTCAGGACTTTAACTCAATTAAATTCAACTATGACCTGACTGTGCTGATCACTGCAAAATATGACCCTTTACCAATTAGTCATATCCATCTTGCTACAAACACTGATATATTTTAAATACAATTTTGTTTACATCATTACTGAAAAATTAACAGAAATCATAGCCATGCTAATTTCCTAGTACTCCGAGTTATGAAAAGATTTCCCACTTTGGATGTGAACCAATTTTACACACTTTGGTACTAAGGACATTGGTTTGATCTAGATATTACACACGTTTGAAAGTTTGAGGACCCTCCCAAACTTTCAAATACTGTATTCTTTCCATAGCAAATTTTTTCTGAATTTTTCAGGTTCCCCCTACATTGAGGTTTAATTTTTGTGTAAATCCTTCCAGTATGTAGATAATGCAGTTCTTTTGGCAAGAAATAATAGATAGTATATTCTAAATATATTAGCTGAAAGTTTAATTGATATGTGAGTGAGGACTTCTAAAAAGTAATAAAGACAAAGGCAAATTTAGCAGAGAGAAGAAAATTGTGAGGAAATCCATTGGGGTTGTGAGGAGACGTGACCAAGGCATTGCCACCCGCTGCACCACTACTGACTTTATAAGTTTTACAACTGGATTTCTACCAAAATCACAAAGTCTGGAGGCCCCTCCTGAAGCCAGTCAAAGTTTTACACAAGACCCCCAAGCACTCGGGTGAAGGGTAAAGTAGTTTTCAACCCTGTATGCCCCACCTTCAGATACACTGAAAAAATCACAAACGTAATATTCTTCAACGAGAAAATCCACTGGGGCATTTTCACCCCAATGGATTTTCTCACTATGTACAGTACCGGTATATCACAGTGCGATTTTCTGCGCGTAGAAGAAAATTGTTCCGTGTGTGAAATAAAGGTAAATAAAGTAGTCCTAGAAATGATCAATCAGTTTAAATACTGTACCTGGTGATCTGCAACTGACTAGGGAGGAATGTGCACAAGAGAAGCTGAACCTCGAGCAAGTCAGGGGAGAAAGTGACTTGTGTAAAAAAAATCCTGATTAGGAATAATATGACTGGAAAAGATGCATGAAGGAGTGTTAATGTTTACCCATATATATCTTACATAATATTTGTGTATATATTTTAAAGCCACTATTTATGCTCAACATTTTGGACATTTTGGGCATCTTGTACTGTATATAAACGGTTAAGAAACAAGACTTAACTAGGACTGGTTAGACTGGGCCGCAGGGGACAGTAATCCTCAACAGCACCTCAAGGTAAAGAAAATTCAAGATAACAATGAATGAGACCAAGTCATTGAGATTTGTATTAATTTTGTACAATCAAAGAGTGTTATACTGTACTGTACTGTACTGTAAAATTTACAACAGAGGAATACTAAAACTTTTGGGAAATAGCTCTTCAAACAACATACCCTGAGGGCAGACTGCTAGTTTACGCTTGTTGCAGTAAGCCAAAATAGCCGAGACTTCCTCAGTTGTTTTGGGCTTGAGAAGGGCTGATGATGTACCACGAACCATCCCCAACCAGTCAGTATTGTGGCCTTCAAGCTCTGTCTCATCGGTTATGACACGATGGGGATCAAGGAGATCAGTGAAAAAGTTCATGTCATCTCCATTTATGTGGCTGAACTGACCTCTCTTTACCTGATACCTTCAGAAACATAAATTTAGGCTTTTCACATTTTCTTACACAATTTGTGGTTTTTAGATACAAAAGATTCCTTATGTAGAAATTTGATAAAGGTGTACCTAAGGTTTGTATAAAAGCATGGCTATTGTCACCCTCAAAACCTGCGATGTAACTGTTGTGCCATCCTGTATATCCTATAAATATTATCGATATTATTTGAAGCGGTTGAACAGAGCACCAAGTGCTGATAATGATAAACAAATTAAGTCGAGAACTAAAATGATGCATATAGTAGATAATATTTAGTAGCAGCTTAATCAGATATAATAGATACACAATGTTAGTGCTTTTACAAGAAAAAAAAGTAAGTTGTCCTGGATTTGTTGGAAGTAAATCACCTTACCTGAACCAACATCATATCTTTATATTGTGAATGTATTTTAATATATACCTGTACTTGTTCTTCTGTTACATTCTTATAACTAAAGAAGAACATCTTGACCCGCTGAAGGCAATTGGAATTCCCAAGAATAATTAATGGACAATATCAAGGTGGTGAAGATATGGTGAGGGGACATGATCGAGTAAGTGATAATTTATATCTAGAAGTATCAATTTAGTCATCTGGGAAGCAATGCTAATTTTCCCTCGATTCTGTTATATGCTGTTTCAGCATTTGATGGCTTCAGATTCTATGCACTACTTTCTAATGTTTTTAGCCTTAGATGATGAACTTGGCGTTCATAAAGTGCATGACATTTTGGTTCTGGTTCATGTGTGTAACTCTAGTGTTGTTGGTGTTAACTGCATGCTAGTCATACTAATACCATGTACAGTATCAGTGACACTTCACTAATAGTCACATCCATGATCCTGGATATATCACTAACATGTTTTTGTCACAGCTACTACACATTATATCATAATTTCATTCTTCTTGTTCTGCTTATGGCAAGGATGTTGATTATAGTGGATGTTTTGTGCTGTCCTTATAATGGTCTTACCGCAGGTGTTAGCAATGTCTGCTGCCTATTCTAGTGGAAGAATAAGACACTAACTTTGATTCAATTTTGTTGGTGATGATAATAAATACAAGTATCAAATATAATATTTATTGCTCTCTTTCTGCATTCACTAATGAAGTATGTAGGTTATTTAAGGATTTACTAAAAAATACTCAATTTATTAGCATTTATCTTCAAGTTCCTGCTGGCTACAAATTCTAAATGCCTTATAAATAATCATAACACCATGCCTTACTTCATCGTATTATCATGGCAAGAGTAAACGTGAAAGTTGTTTTTGTAAGCAGACTTCCAATCGACTTTGAACCTGAGCATGTCATTACCCTTCATTATTACTATGCTTAGGAAAGTGCTAGCTCATTCTATCCCTCATCTTTTGTTCTTTCTTCACCTAGCAGTAAATAAGAACCTGGGAGTTAGGCAATTGTTGTGGATAGCTGCTAGTGGAAGGCTAGTTGTTGGCCTAGTTAAACCTTGATAAGCTCTATGCTTCCTGTCTATGATAATGGGAACCAATTACTGCAGTGCATTGCCTTCTAATAATGCATAAATTAGGAGCAGGGGCCATTCTCCTACACCATCTCATGCATTGTGAAATAACTACTAGTTTGCTTATGATGTCTTGATCATTACATCAGGTTGTTATGAAAGAGAGATTACTCTATCTTTCCAAGACACACTTATAATGAAAGATGACAAGGTGTACAAGATGTTCAAACATTATAAAATGCCTACATATAAAAATTACATCATTCACCATTATTCTCACCATGATAAGAAGACAAAGCAAAGGCATAATAATTTAATTATTTCTCAGGTACTGTATTTACTGTACTTGTTCCAGGTAGTTCCTTGAATATGAATGCAATACAGGACCAATTCCTTCATAAACCATAAATACCATACATATTTCATCAAGGAATGCAGAAATCGAGTTATTAATATCATCAACAGCGCTAACATCTGCCAGCAATAAAACTAATACTGTACTGTATGTGGGTTGTGTACAAAACATTCAATAAAATTAATACCATTGGCAGAAGCAGATTTACACTATGTAGTAGAGTCTGTATACCATTTAGTAGTTGTGACAAGTACTTTTACTGTAGTTAAAACCAAAAACATGTATATAGGGATTTACTAATAAATATATAATGAGCATTACTTGTCTTACAGAGAAACTGAAAAAATACCTTAAGAACTTTTATAAACACTAAATTCATCACTGAAGAAATCATTAGAAAACAGTTTATAGAATTTGTAACTATCAAATGTGAAAATCCCACATTTTTACCACACTGGCTAAAAACTTTCAAAATGTACATTTTAACTTTATTAAACTCCTTGTCTTACAAACTTATCCAATCAGACATCACCCCTCCTATTTCCCCATTTTGAGCCATTATGCTCTAGCCCATTGTATCTCATATGTGAAAGCCATTATAGATGAAAGATTATATACTGTACAAATCAAATTTATTATCAACTTATTGAGAGTTTTGGTAAAATATCTGCATTTTCTGAATTGAATAACTGCAGATCATATCCTTAATTAACAGAAGCATTTTACCTTTTGGATGTTAGTTCACATCTTGGGTAGAAAGCAACAGGAAAAGTGTGTATATGATGTTTACTACGACCAGGATGTTGACTTCGACCAGAAAATTTTAAGATAAATGTGGAGGAAACTCTTGCCGAATGTTGCATGCATAGTGTCCTTAGCCACATGGTTCTGGCTACCATCGTCATCTGTAAAGGAGTAAGGACATTTATTTCCTCACGTCTTCAATGTCCTTATAGGAAGACAATGAATTACCATACTAATCTTACTTCTATAACTTCAACTTTTCCATTGTAATCACTACTATTACGGGTATCTTATATCATGGTTGTTATATTAAACACATTTTACTACATTATACCTACAAATAATCCTCAAATTATGCCACAATGTACCTGTTGATAATCCTCAAATTTTACTATAAGGCTTAGGGTAAGATTATCTGCAATTAATTGGTCACTGGTATATGGTCATTGGTGCGTATAAAACACATTGTTACAGTGAAAGTGGATAAAATGAAAAAAATACATCTAGAAATTCTGTAACATAATCCAATACCATACTGAAACGTGAAAGATAACGTTGTCCGAGGTGTATACACAATGTTTTTTTTAACTTTAAAATCACTTTTAAATACACGAATGGTGAAATATATTAATTCACAACCTTTGCGAGGCTAAAATTTGTATATCTAATATATTCAAAGATTTAATTAAGGGGGGATGAGTGCTGTCTGGGGCCAGAGTTTGTTATTGTCCTAACAGAAATTTGTATTCAGTAATTAGAGGACATAGATGATTTTGAGTAGTAGAACTCCAAGCACAGATACCATAACCGAGAAGGATAGACGAGAGGAATAGAGCATTACCAGGGCAGGGCGACACACATAAGATCTGATTTTAGAAAGATTGCCAACTCATTTAGAAACTTTTTTTTTTTTGCAATATTTGGAAAGTGGCCCTGGAAATTCAGCTTGTTATCTGCATGACAATATCTGCACGTGTGTTCTGGTCAGAATGTTCTCACGACACTGATATATTACATCAGAGAATACCTTTTATTTCGACCTGATCTCGGCCCAGAAGATCCACACCCCAGACAACTACTACGGACCTTTCCCTCGTCTCAAACAACTCTAAGCAAGTAATCGTGCACTCAAGGTATAAGCCTGTCACGGCCAGTGTCCATGACACTGAATAACCGAGTGAGGATTAATGGTAATGATGAGCTGACAAGGTCACCTGCGCCACCACGATAAACACGCCTCCACCAAGGTCACTGTGTCCGGATGGCTTCCCGAGACTTCGGCCGCGCCTTTATAACGTTGTATTCAATATTTCCCATAACTTTCATTAGACGTGGTTGTATTATAATTAATTTTATTTGCCCATTATCTATGTGACTGTATGGATGATTAAATATTTAGTTTAAATTCAAGGTAAAACCATTGGTTGGTATCTTGGTATCAGAGTTCAGAAGATGGGATGCAATAGTATTATCACATTGCTATCAGTGTAGCTTCTCTGAGCTCCTGAAGACATTCCTCCACTCGAAGTTTAAACATTTTAGAGCATCTCTACAAAAAGCTTATATAATTTATGCCAAGATTAGACCTTAAAAAAAGGTAAATTAAGTCCCTTTCCCTCCTCTCCCAACACTAATCTTAAGCAGTACAATTTTCTAATGCTATATATCATCACATAGTAAATAATTATTATCAACAGAATTTTTAATATAGTGGTAAATGAATGAATGAAAGAGTAGGAAAGCAACATGTCAATATTTAAGAAAGGTGTTCATATTTGTTTACGGTGAGGTGGATGGAGAGGAGGATGGGAGGCGGCCGCCGCGACCACCACTCCCGCTCACTACTCCACCAACAACAACTACTACTACTACAGTAATCGAGAGGACATAATAGTCACCTCAGTCTCGTATATAAGAGGAATGGCTGAGCCGGGAGCTGGGACGCTCACGTGTCTCAGGATCGTGGAAGCATTCTAGTCAGTTGTGGCCAGTCGGGATAGTCTAGTCATGTAGGAGCTGCTTCCCTCCTTCCATGTACCCACGCAAGCTCTCCATTGTCCTTCATATGCATAATAAGGCGAGTGGTGGCTGTGTGTACGTTTTACGGGCTATTCCTGCCCGTGCCACCTCTTGGGTGGCTTAATCTTCATCAATGTGTATGTTAGGTAGACTAAATTTCCCCTGTTCCATCACCCTTCTCTTACAGCAAGTGGCTTGGACGGAATTTATGTTGCCTGATCTGGCACTGTGGCAAGCATGAGGATCCCGGGGATGTACGACATGTATCATGCCAAAATTATATTATTTTCGTATGGTTAAGAAAGGTTACTGTTGGGTAATTTGATTAAGTAGGAAAAGTTTGATTTAGACTGGTTAGGTAGGGTTATGAATGATGCAGCAACACTAGACCTCTGTACCCTGGCAGGTGACTATAGAATGCACTTGTGTTACATTTCCTAGTCTTTGGTGCTTAAATTTGTTACTGGATCAATGACTTGGGGCAATATTAACTGATCAGATCACTTATCTAGACAGCAGTAGCTGGACATTGATGCTAAAGGAAACATATAGTGCATAGGGCAGTCACAAAATTACTATGACCACTGGGGCAGAGTAGGTGTTAAATGTACAAGAATATATATTGTTACATAGTATGATATAGATAAAGGCTGTAGCATTTAGATTGTGTATTGATTGCTTAGATATATCTTATTAATTTAACCAAGATGCTTATACCTATTGCCATACTGGTAAACGTGTATGACTATGTTTAATGATATAGAAATTAATACCAGAATTAATTTTTAATGATAAGCAATTTATAAATGATTAAAACTGCTGAAATGTTTGTAATACTGAATTACTTTTTACAGGAGTCTTGGTTGTGATGCGTGGTGGAGGGTGGGCCCGGGCAATACGGGTGGTGGGCGTAGTAGTACTGCTGTGTGTGGCATGGCTCCAGCTTGCACTCCCTCCACTACCACATGACCCACAGTCTGCCTTTGGGGGTAGTGCTCGAGAGACTCCAGAGCTGGACCCTGCTCTGAGTTTTCAACGAAGCCCTACTTCAAAGTTCCTAAAGGCATGTTCAAATGTTTGAATTTTATCTTTTAAAAGTACCAGAGTGACTTTTGTCTATACACATTATGAGATAGCTTTGCTTCTGCCTTGACCTACAGTTGTTCATAAAAAGCAAATCATAATTTTTAGTTTTTGTGCGGCTTGAGTAAATTTACATACAGTATATATATTTAGGCAGTATTGAAACAGTATTACGTAAACAGTAAATGGCAGTATTGAAACTCATTGGCCAAAACACTTCACATGTTCTAGTGGTCTCCAGGCAGAGCAAGTGTCTAGACATCTCATCATCTGGGTTGAACTAGGAGCTGACTAATTGGGGTTGCATTACCAATTAGGTTGCACTGATAACTCCACCCACCACTGATACTCATTCTTTCTTCATCTCTATACTGTACCCCTATTTTAAAATATAATACAATGTATGGACAGAAAAGTGGGGGGTAAAGAGTTTATGCTTGTCAAAATATTTATAGGCTAATATTTGCAATATTAGATATGCTCACCATATACCATAGGCACCAGCAATATCTATTTTCCTTCATCGGGTGTGATTGAAACATTCTATTTCTAGCTTGTTCTCTTTCTTATTTGTGTTAAGTTGAATTTTCTGTATAATGTAGCATTATTGGAATGTTAAGTATAATATTATAGAAAACATAACCTTGATTTTGATGTATCTGAATTTTTTAGTTAAAGACGCAACCTTCAAGTTCCTCCTCTGTCCCTAAACTGACTCCTGAGCAAATATTGGAGATACGTGAGCAGATCCAACTTCGCAGTGGTAATGAAACGGTTTTGAATGAAGAATTATTTGGTCCAGTGCAGCCTGATACTATTGTTATAGCTGTTCAGGTGTGTATTTTATACATGTAAAAATTGGCTTCGGCATAACTAGAAAGATAATTGCAAACAGCAGGTGGGCTGTATAAGGCACATCTTTAGCTTTGATGCTTTGGTTTTGCTGTTTTAACCTCTTGTAGAATCTTTCCTAGACATCTGAATTGCCTTTAAATGCTATTTAAAGTTTCAAGCTATTTCTTGGAACACTTGAAACCTGTCTATTTGAAAAGACACCTGTTTGTTTGTATATATTTAATATATATAGTGCAATGAATGTACAGTAATGTGTATACAGTAATATATGTACATTTGTATTTTGGAATGTAAAAAGGAATGACTCCTTAAGAAAGGAAAGCTTCCAGTAAGAGCATCATAAATATTCATAAAAATTACTGTATATCAGTAGGTATATATATGTATATACTGTATATATGTATGTACATCTAATGTATTAAATGTTAATAAGTGGACATTTGGCAGTGCTGTACTCTGTATTGTGTGCTTGTGTCTGATTTGATTAAGTTTTGTAATAATTTACTTTGAATTATGTAATTGTTTCAGGTGCACAATCGACTCGAGTATTTACGTCATCTGATTGTGTCCCTTGCACAAGCCCGGGACATAGATTCTGTTCTTCTGATATTTTCACACGATTATTTTGATGAAGATATTAATCAGTTAATTACAACCATTGACTTTTGTAAGGTAAGATGTCTATCATGTTACTTGTACATTTTATTTTGTGATTTTCATTATTTTACATTGTTGCCATTTGTTTTTTAAATAGATAGTTGTTATTGTAGGAAATATACCTTCTTAGTTAAAAAAAAGTTCATAAACTATACATAGAGTGATCAAATGCTGTATAATATAATGTTTACATGTGTATCATCCATTCCTTAACATAACACATAGCTTAAGAAATAAAAAATAAAACATGTAAAAAAGTTGAAAAATTCACCAAATTCTATTTAAATAAATTAACTTAATATTTCACCAATTTTTATTTTATTCACTGTGGGCTCAGAATGGCTTATAATGTTCTGTTTCATTGCTTTAAAATATTGTTTGAGAGTATAGTTTACTGTAAAAAAAAAAAAAGTCAATGTGGCCTTCAAAATATGCACAAAATTCAGACGCAAACAATTTATAACTCCCAAAGTTACGGATTTATGAATAAACAACAGCAATGAAACTTTTGAATTAGGAATGTTACACATAATATGTAAAAATGGTGAGAGTCGCTCTGAAACTGAAGTTTCTATGTTATCAAAGATGAAAATCCTGTTCACGCAGAAAAATTAAGTTAAAGTTCTCAACAATGAATATTGGAGTTCAAATTTATAACATACTGTATTTTGTAAGTTTTATTAAATGCTGCTTGGCATGCATTCGTACTCAAGTATGTGAAAGTTGTGGGTCAATATGTGTTGAAATGAAGTAAAGAAAAAATAAGCACCCAAAAAACAAAATATCTGTATAGGTATAAGGATAATGGATTAGGGTATATATAAGTAAACTTGATATAAGTGATAAAGCCCTCATATGGTCCCTATTCAGCAAAAACAACCTAAAAAGAGACAAAGAAATTAGTTTTAAATCTGTGAATAACTTTCCTCCCAAAATATTTAAGGTCACAGTTCTGTCACTTGTGGCTGAATTACATGTTGACCAATTTTGTTCCAACTTGACATACTTAGTGACAGGTATGCATTCTCCAAGTTGTAGAAACCACAACAAAATCAGATGGAAAAAACAAAGGATAAAAAAAAAAATCCCCCCGCCCCCCCAAAAAAAAATGGACATCAGAAATATTGGCATTGTGCAATGTATTTATATCATATATAATAAAATACAGCAACATAACATACTCATTATCATTTGTGTGAAATTTTGCCCTCCAGTGGCAATCACTCTCACAAGTCAACCCTGGCCTCAGGCTGGGCTTGGGGAGTAGAACAACTACCAGAACCCCCATCAAGCAGGTATCCTAGAAGGCACCAGCTGCATATCCACTTTGTGGACCCTCCTTACTACTACTATTCTTTGTGCGTCGACAGGTGCTTGCATCTCTGGATCACTGCACTGTCCATGAGTTCCACTAAGAGGTGTTATTGTTATCATCAGTACTGGTTGCACACTTTTTTTTTTTTTTAAATTCGTATAAAATCCATTTCTTAACATGTTGGGATGATATTTTCATGACGCTGATGCCAAATAACGCGAGAGTTGTTTAACAGTTTTCAATATATTTCATATTTGGACGAATATTTTTGAGCTCCCGGCCCCTTAAAATTAATTCCTTAGTCCTAGATGCTATTTAATTGGAGTTCATTCAGTTATACTGAGATTAAAGAAAAAATAATATCTGAATGAATGACATTGCTTTGCACTGCTCAGTTTAAAAACTTTCAATTGTTCCAAATCTTCATTTGACCTTATTTGAATACTTACCAGGATTATGCTGTATATACGATAAATAAATTAAACTGTAAAAATAGATGCAGCCTTTTTTTTGTTTTAAGCTTTTTAAATTTATAAAAATTAGTTACATATATTTTGTAAAATGCCCCGAATAAAGTGTAATAGAGTACCTGTAATTGTTTTAATTATTTTTTTCAGGTCATGCAGATTTTCTATCCACATTCTCTACAGACACACCCACACAGCTTTCCTGGGGAGTCACAAGGGGACTGCCCAAGAGACACGACACCAGAGGAGTAAGTAGTAGTGCTTAAGTGTATAACAAGACATCACTTGTGAAAACTAGAGCCCAATGGCTAATGTGAAGGTGGAGATGATACATGCCACCAAATTAGGCTGTGGATAACAAATAGTAAAGTTATGATCAATACAGTATATAATTGTTTAATTTCCATTTCTGTTTTACAGAGCTGCTCAAACTAAATGTGTAGGCACACCAGACCTCTATAAGCATTACCGAGAAGCCCGGTTCACACAAACTAAGCATCACTGGTGGTGGAAAGCCAACAAGTTAGTTATGTATTGTAGTAGTGCTTGGTTAAATTTACCGTTGATATAGGACTTAAAAATACTTATGCGGATGTGAGTAAAATTCTCATTGATACGGCTTTTCTGGCTATTTGTCATCTGCCTCATCCAGTTGCTTCTTAAGTAAGCACCTGCTGTGTTAGTTTATGTTCACAGTCAAACAGGGTAACATTCTATGCACAAATGCCACAGGGATCTTTTCAGATATCCCTACAGGATAATATTGTATAAAGTGCTAGGAAGACACTGGAGAATGGATTGAATCCAGCCTTAGATGACCATCCTAGGTACTTTCTTAAAGACTGAAAGTCCTACCAAATCCTCATTTGGTATCACTAGTGACTGCCAAGTAATTGCAGTGGATCATCTTCAGTTCCTTGGTTCCATTTCTCAAACTTGACTAATGTACAGGTTCCCAAACCTATATTACTGTCATGTTTACATTTGAAGATATATATGAAGTATTCCTACACAACTTTTCTTCTTAAGAATTCTGTATTCCTTTTGTTTGCTATTTTTAAAATGAGAAAATTCTTTTTAGTTAATGTAGCTGTTGCTCATTTGTGTGACAACCATGATAAATAGCATCTTTGCTTGTCTTGTCTTTTCCTATGAGAACTCGGTTGCTCTTGATACCACCTATTCTACCCATCTTATCCTATGCTCATAGTTGGGTTCTTCACATCAGGAGATACGAGAGTTGGTTCAGGGCTTGGGGTCATGTGTGTTGTACTGGTGGTAGTTGAGAAAGGTATCCAAGCAGGCCAGCTGGTATTACTGTATAGCAGGGGCAATTTCTTAGCAGGTATTTGCTATATCAAGGGAGGAAGGGAGGGTTCTGTGGGGCATTTAAGTTTTATGTGTGAATAAATCATTCTAGGCTAGATTGCCATATCTCCAGTAGTATCCTATCACCTTAATTACCATTGCATGGAAAGTTAAAACAGTCTTGGAGGAGCTAGTGCAGTATGTCATCGTACTTGACTGTCCCATGGACATAGCAGATCTTATCTTGAGAATCATTCAAATGATCTGCTTAGAAAAGTGCTTTACATTTCACTCAAACTTATGTTTTTCATGTGATTAAGGTGCCAAAATATGTACACAAGCATATTCTATCATTTGCCCCTCTTTAAACAAAAAATGTTATTGTGGTCAAAGCATTGTGAGAAATGGTGAAAAATTTAATATGACACAGGTTCTGATGAAACGGAAGAGACCTATAGTAAATCGTTTTGCTTGAGTGGGGTTCCAGTGTAGATACAGTATAAAGTAGCAAACATTACTAATCTTTTTTTTTCTAGACATTAATATTACCTGAAAGGAATTGAATTTATTCCTGTCAACTTTAGTTGATTACACATAATTTGTTTATACTTTTCAGAATCTTTGATGATGTGTGGATTTTGAAAAACCATACTGGGTTGGTCTTGTTTTTGGAGGAGGACCATTATGTAGCCGAGGACTTTTTGCACATGCTTCGACTTCTGACAGCTGCCATTCCTCGAGCCTGTTCCAAATGCTCGCTTATTACATTGGGAAACTATCTAAAGAATTACAACTTCCACACAGATGCAAGAAAGGTAGTTTATATTTGTAGGAAATCTAAATTTGATGTGTTAAAATGTAACAGCCCGTCACTTTAGCGAGTTGCTATGATTCATAGTATTGTACTGTACAGTACATCATATTTTGACATTGAAGATTTTTACATTAAAATATGATGTATTATTTGGGATAGGTTGCAGAAATTGCCACTCCCATAGAAATTTGATAACTAAATTAATCTACTGTATTGATCTGTACTACAGTGCTGTGTTGTGTTGTATTGATCCGTGATGTATGTGTGAGAGTTCATGTTCAGTGGAAATGTAATTTAAGTTTGAGTTGCCTTTACCGCAAGGTAGCTTACACAGAATCGTGTCTGGATTATGTTTGATGTAATGTTCCCATTCAGTTTTCCTTACCCAGGAAAGTACAGATTCAGTGCATGTTCATAAAAGGCCACCAATCTTACTTTGTATGGGAGATCTTGCATGGTCTGCCCCCACCCACTCCAAAACCTGTATGGGTCTCTTATAGTTTCGAAAAATTGTGTTGTTCCTTATTCCAATCTTGTATACCTTTTGCCCAACCACTTGGACTGGATGGTAGAGTAAAGGTCTCGCCTCTAGCAGGTCGGAATTCAATCCCCAACTGTCCAAGTGGTTGGGCACCATTCCTTTCCTACATCCTATCCCAAATCCTTATCCTCATAGCCTTTCCAAGTGCTATATAGTTGCAATGGTTTAGTACTTTCTCCTGATAGTACTTTACCTTATCTCAGTCTAGGCTACAACTAGCCTATATATTAGGCTACAATATGTGTCAGATTTTGAGCAGCATTCAAAAGAAATGTCCCTTAATGTCAATGTAGGTTTTATTTTTATTAAACATTTCATAGTAAATTTGTGGTAGACATACTATGTGCTATTTGTCTATTTTCAATGATTCCGAATTATTCTTTTGCCAGTTTAACATTTGTTTTTATTGCAGGTTGAAGTGACGCAATGGGTGTCTTCAAAACACAATATGGGGTTTGCATTCAACCACACAGTGTGGCAGCAGATCAAAGCTTGCAGTGCCAAGTTTTGTGATCATGATGACTACAACTGGGACTGGTCATTGCTACATGTGAGCAACGCCTGTCTCACACAGAAACTGCACACCCTTGTCCTTCGTGCACCTCGAGTCTTCCACATCGGGGAATGGTACGTAAAGGATTCGTGTGTCATGATACGGAGTGTCGTGACTCGCCTCAATCTTGTGAGAATGACCTTTCTTGGTTGCCCCCACAAGAATGAACCATATCTAATATTATATTTTCATTCCTCTAAATAGTTTCACAAGTATCATTTTCAAATTTCCACAGTGGTGTTCATCACAAGAAAAAGGATTGCAGTTCCCGTACGGTTCTTGTCAAGGTGCACCGTGCATTACAAGCTGGACAACGTACGCTATTTCCACGTCAGCTTGTAGTTGTACATACACCACCAAAGAAGGTAGTTATATAATTTTCGTTACTATATTTTTTTTAATTGATAAATTCTACTAGTTATTATTATTATTAGGTGCAAGAGATACAAAGATGATGATAGTGTGTATGTTGAGGCTGTCATTAAATATACTGAACAGTAATTTCCATTTATATTATGTAATTTTCTGTAGATTTTGAGTAAAATATTTAATGTGAGGTTTGTTGTTTCACATTTTCTGGAGGAGTACCATGGTGGTTCCCTGAAGCTATCTCACCGAGATTGCTCCTATCTACTAGGTCACATCAGTTGCAGGAGTCTGGGGACCAGAGCCAGTACCTGTTTCAGGTACAAGGCTCTGAAACTACACAAGCAAACCTTTTGATTGTGTGGTTTTTCCTATCTGTCTGGCTTGTGTGGACATTTGTTTGTCCACACAAATTGTTTCCTTATTTTGTGCTTTGAGCGGTATGCATTCAGGGTTTACTTCTGTGTATGCTCATTTAGCACCACCTCTACACTGACAGTTACAGCTCTGGTTTGTTTGGGAATTCACCCTTTCGACGCCAGGCCACCAGGGTAAAGTACCTTGCCTTATGTGGTTCAAGTCTTTAATGTGTGAGTTTGTCTGGTGCTCATCAGTCCTTCTACTGGCTGGCAGTCATTCTCTGCTTTCGCCAAGCTCTTTGTTGTGTCTATGACGCCTTAGACCCTGAGTCCTATGCTGTATGCACACTTTCAGTCCCCGTTCTCTCTCGCCCTCCCTCTTCTTGAGCCTTACCAGGCATAGTTTTCCCATATTCCTTTAACACTATTGCTGCTTGATAACAGTAATGACATCCTAAAATAATTACATGCAGTTATGAAAAATCCATTTATTGTCTGATTATTATGGGGTTGGTTTTAAAATGCGCGCCAACGTCTTTCCATTCTCTGTAAAGCCCACATGACTTCACGAGACCGCTGTGTGGGTGGCCACCCACGCAGGAGTCTGTGTTTTCATGACCATGCTCGTGACTGCCGCGGCCTCCCCTCGAGTCAAAACGTGAGCCCGGTCTGGGTTTTTTCCTTTATAAACGGTGTACATTTACTCCCAGATGGATAGTTAACAAGGACAGGGCCAACGAATGACAAACGTACTGTAGTGAAAGAAACATGGATGAGGGAAAAGCTAACGAGTGTTTGCCAAAAGTATAGCAAAGTGAAACTCACACCTCCACAATTTCAGGCTGTAGTTGATGAGTTTTCAGGCAGTGATCTTGAAAGTGCAGAAAGTGATAGTGAGGTGTTTGAAACTGAAACAGCAGGCGAGGATGAGATTGAAAGTGAGTAGAGTGATGATGATGATATTGTAGGCCCTTCAATTAGAACTACTGTATTACCCAACGGATCCCACGTACCCAACGCACCCCAGGCACCAGTTCTGGTGAAGTCTAGTCTACTGACAACATTGCACCATTTGAACAAACATTTATGAAGGAAACAACACAAAAACGAATGATATGGTGTCATAAACAATGTCGGGATGACTAAACAGTGATGAATAGCTGGATTTTTTTGCATGACGATCCCATGTAAGTCCTTCTTTTCCTTATCTTTGATTATGTCGCTCCAGGGAGCTGTAGGGAGGGGCTCCCCACAGAAAATCAGCGTTGAATGTAATGAAACAGCATTTTCTGGGAGAGCCCCGGGGGCTCCCTGGCTACCCTCCCTCCCGGTCGGCAGTTTTCAGTTTTTGCATTGTTTTGATATTTAGCCTTCGAAATGGTATGGCTAAGCTGCCAGTGCGGGGGAGCTGTGCGGACGAACGACGCGGCGATGGAGTGTGGTGTTTGATTGTTTGCTTGTTTCCTTGGGATTGGAGGGAGTTCTGCCTCTCTGTTCGGTTTTTGGTTGCAATTTTCTTGCTATGTGGGGTCTGTTTTCTTATGCCTACCTTGCTGGGTGCCTAACCCTGGTTGATGGCAGATAGGGAAAAACCCCAACCACAAGGGAAATTTTCCAGGCCCCTTTCTCTGTTTCTCTCTGAGAGGGCCAGGTTCTGGCTCGTGATCCCCAGTAGGCTGAACTCCTTTGACTAATGCCCTGGTCTAATGAATTGCATATTAGCCTGATAGCTCCAGGGAGCCTCCGGAGCTCACCCAGAAAAATGGCATTTTATTACATTCAACGCTGATTTTTTGTCAAATTAATTTTTATTTCCTAATTTTAGTATATATAATTTGATCATACGTATATTTATTTGGGTCTATTTTATTGTTTTTATTTGATGTACGTAAATGATTTTCGCATTATTTATAAATCGATAAATCAACCATTTTATTATGGTAAAGAAATTAAAGGCTGCAAAATGTTCAGTATGTTTCCAATGGGAATATGGGAATTTCCAGTGTCAAATGTAATTAGAATTACTTCGGGTAAATTTTTTGTAAGTGATAAATATCCTTTCTTTCTAGGTACATGTAATTTAGTACCAAACATGTACAACTTTTGTTTTGATACAGTACTGTACAGGTATATGAAACAGTGCAAAACCAGAAAATATTATAGTTGCCATATTTGTTTTCAGGCTAAGAAACATAAAGGCAATGGTGGGTGGGGTGACGAGCGGGACCATGCACTCTGCCGATCGTTCAGTGTGTCGACCTCTCCAGATAGCAGCATAATAAATACCCTTGTGATTACGGGTTCACTGGTCAGTAATAGCTCAATAAACAGCAGCACACTAGTCAGAAGTGGCTCTTGATTATGGCATTGTACATTTTTTCTACCGACTTAGATGAGGCAGAATATTAGTGAAGGTAACCTTGGGCTGAGCTCCATCAGGCTTGTACAATTTCGTAATTCATTATATATAATGTATCTATTTCTACCCATATATTTATAAAAGTTTATTTTATTTTTCTCTCGTGAGCCAGAGGCTCGAGGGAGTTTTGGCATGTGAAAGGTAGCTTTCATTAAGGAAACCACATAAAGAAGTGGTACCAAATATTCTTGACAATCGATTTAGATACAGCTGCATTAGTTAACAAGCAGTTAATCTCCACTACTTGATAACTCGTACATTGTTTTCGAGACAGGTCTTGTGCGAGGTCACAAAGCACATAACGCTAGTTTATTATGAATAGGATGGGTATAAAATACCAGCGGGTGCCAAAATACCTCACTATTTTGCATATTCTCTGGAGATTTTCATCTCGGAATTGGTTGATTTTGCACCAGCAGAAAGGTCAGTTTGTGATATACCAGTATCATTAAGGTATCATTTTGTGATATGCTGGTATCCTTAAGATATCGTTTGGTGATATCCTGGCATCATTAGAGTATCATTTTGTGATACCCTGGTTTCTTTAAGATGTCATGCATTAACTTATTGTAAGGTCCAAGCTTTATGATACTTTTCTGATGCTGTTGAACTGAATTATTCTTGGCTTGAGAGTACCTATTATAAGTTAATTATATTTTTGTATAGATATTTATTAGTTTGTGTGCATATTTTGAGTTATTTTGCGTATAAAGCTTTTATCTGGTAGTATTTTCACTTCAGAATGTGTCAATATTATGTGTGTTTTTAACACTGGATCATCGTATATGTTGTTTCATGGAGTGAAATGCATGTTATGGCTTGCAGATGCAGTCATTAACAGAACGACCTGGCATAAGCTTTTCCAAAGAACAGTTGCGTGAATGGTTAAAGGAATATGTACCGTTTATTGTTATCTTTGATGGTTACAAATGTCTACTGCACAAATTTGATTGTACCAATAGTAATTTTGTTCTACAATATTCATGATGCATTGATGGGTGCTCACATTGTAGTTATTAAAGCTAGAACTTTAATAACATTATTTGCTTATTTATGTTCTTTCAAGTTGTGAATTTTAAGTGTCAAATAGAACTGTTTGTATTAATACAATACACTATGAAACTTGTTTACCTATAAGGCAACCACTGAAGGTCAATATCCATAGACTTGCTGGTAAACCATTACCCGTCGTCATGATTATTCTCTTGGAATATTCAACATAAAGAGAGTTTTCTTCAGCTTCTTGCTGTCTAAACTGTTTATGAAAGAGTTGCTATATTTTGAAGTTTGCTACCCAGGATTATAATATTTATTTAAAACTTTTTCTTAGTTTGTATCATTGATTGGTTGGGAATTACTAAAGGAAGAAATGGCTACCATGTGCATATTATTTTATTTAACTGTTGTAACTGTGAAGGATGCTTTCTCTTGGCTGTTAAGTCGGCCCATTCTCTTCATTTGCCGCTCCTTAAAAATGCAACTGTTTTTGCCAAAAACCAAAATGTACGAGCCCAAGCAACTAACCTAACGTATTGAGGTCTATGAAGAGAAAATGTCAATATTATGGAGCTTCCAGTTTTTAGTAACAAGTCACATTTTTAACCGATTGGTCAATTTTGTAATAAAGTGTGATGCATTAGGCATGAGGACGGGTTGGTCAAGTATGTATTTAATGTATTTACTTTATACACAGTATTCCATTAATCCTAAGTCAGATTATAATCCATACAGTATACTGATTTAAAGTATATTAATACCAGTATCTATAACATTATTGATCTCTGTAATGGTCTTCAGAAATTGACAGTACAACACCTGCTTGATAAGATACTAGCAAGCAGTAGTATGTTCAGGTTCCCATGTTTCATCTTTCCTAAAGCAAGTACAGTATTGTTCTATATTTAACTCAAATGCTACTTAGCTCTGTTGATGACTAGGGCGTGACGAACAGGATGCTGCAAATATCAATAGGACTTTGAACTTGAATGGTGCCATTAGGCACCTAAGTACAGTATCATCATTATCCAATCAGTTTATACATCATGTAGTATTTACATTTGTATATATGAGTATTGGCTCGACTATGAAGATGTCTTATTATTTACAGTCTTAAATATTAGGATAAGTATGCAGTGAAAGAATTAATGTTGCTTTTTATATTTTCATAGCCCCTCTGTTTGAATTAATTTATTATTTTTTACTCTTAAAGGTCAATTGCAATTATTATAGAAGTTAGTAGAATTAAAATACGTGGTGTTATTTATTAATTTTTTGGTTGAACAAAATTTATTGTAAAACAATAATGTACTGGATACAACAACATGCGAAGGCAGTAGACCTTCCAATAATATGGAAAAACATAATATCAGTTTTTAAGGAGACAGTCTAATGGCCTTAAATTATTGTGCATGCCAGTGTCTCTGACATTAATCACACTAGAATTTGCTGTAGAAAATATCCAAACATCAGGCATAGAGTAGTGGAAAATCTTTGAATGAGTTTGAATTGAATTTGAATTTCCAATTAAGGAAATTGTAATTCAAAACTGGAAAACATGTGTTAAGGGAAAAAAAACTCCTACTAAACTTAGTTGTTGAATTGTAGAGTAGTGACCAAAGGTAAGGTAATAATCAGGCCTCCATCATCCTCTGCTGTCAAGACACTTGATTACTAAGACCCGGTTTGGTGCCTTCTTTTGATAATTACTTACTTACTTACTAAGATGGAGAAACAAGCTGGCATATACACTAGATTATGTATGATGCCTGTCTAATGGGAAATTTTAGTATAATTTGGTATTATAAAGCAATTTATAATGACAACATTAAGGAAAAATCATGACGGTACCAATAACTCATGACAAAGTGCTAAACCTAGAGTTTATTTTTTTATTTACTTTATTTATATGTACAAGAGTTCTTACATTCTTGTAAAGCCACTAGCACGCATAGCATTGTGAACAGGTCCTTAATCCTAATTTTTTCCCGGAATAGAAAAGATAAGTTCATTGTTAGAAAAGATAAGTTAATAATATATATATCATAGCTGAAATTTTATCCTTGATTGCATATCACCTTTAAGAGAGTATTTTGATGTGTTTTTTCAGTTAGATTAATACCTTAAAGATTATTTTCCATGGCTTGATGTTATTTTAAATGCTCCATTTTTTATTCAGGCACATTTGTTCCATTGCCATTTTTCATGTTCCATTCATGTACATTCTTTGATCTTTTCTTTAACTCATAAGTTACATTTTTGAAAAAGATTGCCTCAGTACATATACCAGAGGGTGATTAGAAATGGGAAAGTAAAGTAGAGAATAACTGTTTATGTAGGTGTCTGTACCTGCCTAGATACTTTTAAGCCTTTTAAATTAACTTAATTGGCCTCCAGGACACACAAACAGCAATTTTCTGGCTGATCAAGCATTCACCTGGGAAACCCGGTCTCAAGCAGTACTGTGGCACTAAAATATACCAAAAAACTGGCCAGAGGTAATGAATGAATGTGCACTGTTTTAGAAGTGAGCAGCCAACCATCAAATAGGTTCTAGTGAGAATATGCCCAAAGAAAATAACTTCTTTTCTTTTTAGAATATATATAGCTCTTAACTTTAGCTCTTAACTTTGTATATATATATTTTTGCTGTTTTTTTTTTTTTTTTTTTTTTTTTTTTTTTTTTTTTTTTTTTTTTTTTTTGTAGTTTATGTAGAGTTTGTTCTGGGCACTGGGAACCCTGTAGCCCATCTGGACCAAGCTTCCTAGTATGGAAAGAGCATAATGCAATGGGTCTGTCTCATGCAATATATGCATTGTGATATTGCAATGTTTTAACCTGATACATGTTAAATATTTTGCACGTTTTATAGCCAGATTTCTTTTTTATTGTGAAGTACATAGCATTCTTTGTATGCGTGTTTTATAGCTAGATTTTGTTTAGTTTGTAAGGTATATTGTATTCTTTCAGGATGCTGCTTGCATTATAAATTTTGTTTGCCACACTAGATTGTGATCTGATGTGCCATATTCGACTAAAATGTAATAGAATCTGTTATGTGGAGTATAGAGTTATGGTCTGTATCAGATTTATATGTTTGGTAATGTAGTATAGTTTGGTAATTTATGTAGGTAATGCACCTTGGTAGGGTTCAGCTGTACCAGAGCACGATGTGCACAAGTGTCCATGTTTAGTCTAGTCTGCATGATATACATATAAACAGTGTTCTGGTAATACACTTCAGCTCATCAATTACAGTATATGTGAATACAATATGTAATATATATATTTGTTAATTTATTTATTTATTTATGACACAAAGACTGCACAAATACACGCGACATTAATCACTTGAGAACTCTCTTGACCTTACAGTACCAGGATTCGAACCTCCCACCGGCTGGGACCACCCCCCACCCCCTGGTGTACAGGGTTCTGTAACCACTACAACAATAATTGTTAGAATCCTGGTCAGGTCAAAAAGAGTTCTTGGTGATTGATGTCACCATTAATAAAAAAAATATATTTTTTTATTAATTTAATTATAGATGCACACATATACATACAGTGGGGCCCTTTACTTGTGGAAGGTTTTCATTTTGGTTGAGACTTCCAGCTTCGTGACAAAAGTCCAAGTCAAGTGAGGTTGTCGGAATGCAGTACCGAGGAATGTAAAAACTATTCAACCAAATCTTTAATGGTTAACTTTCTCCAGTTGATTTTGATATATCTGCTTTATTTCAAACTGTGCTCAACATTGTTTTCTATCTTTTTCACCAAATAAAACATGGTAATTTTTGCTTCAAAATTGTAAATAAAAAAGTACAGTAGTGTAGATAATAATTTGACAAAAAAAAAATCCTGATGCAACATAATCCCCCAGATTAACAAGAGGGAAGTTGGATTACAATGATAAGTTTGAGTGGGTCCCTCTATGTAAAACATGGCAACATTTGTCGAAAGCAACGGTAATATTGTTTGTGTTGAAAATTTACCTTAATTTGCGTGTTTGAATGTCATCTTCATCCTGATGAATGAAATACCTTTCACTCATCAGAATGCATCTTTGCAATCAGCTCAGTCATACATCATCTCAATTGGTGTGTTCATCGAACTTGAATTTATTCATCTCCATCCATTCATATTATGCATCCAGTCAACCTATTTCATGCAAGTAAAACCACCCAAGCACACTGTTTATCTGGAAAGCACTATTTTTACACCATTTTATCAGTCATACATCTTGTAAATTTTGCAGTTTATAGGCTAAAAATTTGGTACCTTAGACTAAGACTAGTTTGTTTAAAACCGATGTCACATGGCTTGAAGTGTCTGTAGAAAATTGGTTAGATTGCATTTGTATTTAAACATGTCTGGGGAAGTTATGAACTTCATTATGAGAATGTGATATGAGAAAATCCACTAGGGCAATGAGGCAACCCGTTCTCTTAAAAAGAACGTCACTTTTGGCTGGTATGCGCACTATGGCCAAATTTGGACGTAATTTGAAATGAAATCCACTCACAAAAGTGTCGTTCTGTTCCGTTTTCTATTTGAGTCGTCCGGCGTACGCGCAGAGGTTATAAGAGGACACTTTAAATTCACGTTTTTCATAACGTTTTGAAACTTTATGAGAATTTCCTGCCCACCTAACCTATCAGAGGACCCTTAACTTACTGTTGTTGAAAAAAAAAATCCCAAATTTATTTTCATATTTTTTTCAATTTCAAATTACGTCCAAATTCGGCCATACGGGCAAACGGCCAAAAGCGACGTTCTTTTTAAGAGGACAGGTTGAATGAGGTTGACGCAATCCTACAACTTTGCCATTGCCACCCTACATACTGCTACAAGTCAGCAGTGATCTAGTGGTAGGGTATGTAGCTTGGCAATGCTGGGGTTGACCAGACCACACACTAGTGTTCTAGTGTGTGGTCTGGTCAACATACTTTAGCCATGTTATTGTGACTCATCGCCTGCAATGTTGGGGTCGTATGTTCGCGCCCACCTCTTTTCCCTAGTGGATTTTCTCGATATATATCATGTTAATGTGACTTCTGTGTGTTTGAGAATGTGATATGTTATACAGTATAAGGGGTAGACGTAGATATCTTGAATGATAGTAACTGGCCACATTCAAGGATTAACATATTTAGAATTTTATGGGACTAATATTTTCATAAAAAAATTAGTACATAAATTATTTGGGGTTTGTGAGCTTTGTAAAAAAATAATTAATTTTCATATTGAATACAGTATACAGTAGTTGAAAGATAAGGAACGCACATGCAGTACTGGATTGGAAATGTAACGTTGTTGTAGTGATGATGAAAATAATTAATCTTATGATATTTACTGATCATCCAAAAGACTTGGATGATCAGAAAGACTTCCAGAAAGATAGTGCTGCTATTTGCTCTTACATGTCACATGTGATCAGTAAACATAATTTTTATTCCAATGATTTTCATCAGAATTCTGTAAAAGATTTGCAAGTGTTATGAATGTATTCATTATTTTCTAAATGTTGTTAGGTTAATGCTATTATTTATGTAGAAAGCAATTAATAAATAATTATAATGATATATTAGTTATAATATGATATAACATATATATGTAAGCAATGCAAGACACGAAAGCAATGTTTTGTTTGCCAGTATCATCTTGGTCATTCCAAATAAAAATTCTCTGAGTGACATGCCAAATGTTTTTTTTTTTTTTTTTTTTAAGTGTGTATAAATGAAACAAGCCAAAGACTTGTAATTAAATATTATATTTCCATTACTGCAGATTTATCTCCACTAGACCAGTTTGTGGATTGGCAAAATTTTATTATTAATTCAGTACTGTATATCAGTGCATGTAGTGGAGTTTGGTTCCACCCTGTTAGCTTGTGCAAGAAGACACACTAGATCCCAAGGCATAATTGCAGAAAAAGACTGATTCGGAAAGGCTTGTTTTATTTGAAAAAGCCAATTACAAGTTGAAAATATTCCTCTAATTATGTAGTTTGTAATATATGTGAAGCATACAAGGTTTGACATAATTTGATGGTCTTGTTTTAGTGTAAGGTGACTGATATATTTTTCCACTTGTCGAAGTCTTCTGCTATTCATTGTAGCCTGTGCCCTTGCCCAAGGTTCTGTTTCTTGCTCAGATTGTTGTGTTGTAGTGGTGAGCTTCGTAAATAAAGGTATTTTTGCATGTGATGTATGGAGGTTTTGCATCTTCAGCAAACATAAGTGCTTTTTATTAAAAATCTATGGTGTCACTGTATATATGTGTGTGTGTGTGTGTGTGTGCTATATAACATGACTGCTGCATATAACTTTAAACAATTCATATTTAATTTCAAGAGCATTGTTCTTCTGGTTTACCATTATGTTCGAAGTGGCTAATTATTTATCGTCGCCAAAAAATCCTCCAAGTATGGAACTCATGACTGTAAAGCATTTAATGACCTTGATAAATGCAGCACATTGTTTCTTTTTTGATGACAAGTGCACAGTAGAACTGCTTGTATCATACTAGATAGTGAGATTCTTGGCTTTGTCTGAAAAAATTATAGTCCGGTCTAAAAGTAACTGAAGCACATTTAAGTGGAAAGTGTTTTAGGGCAAAACATTGATACTGTATATAAATGGAAAAAAATGTAACTTAAAATTTGCTCGAGTGCATATTTCTTTAGCACATCATCAGAGGTTTTCTAGGTATGATAAATGCATGTATAGAGTACATAAATGAAGCCTGAGATGAAGGTTAGGTCACTATAGGCTGATATGGACAATAAATAATCAGATTACAGGTGCATGTGACCTGCATGTCACCAGATTAACATATAGTAATTAGCACTATTATAGGATTAAAACTATGCATTACCAAACCAAGAATTCAGTTGCATTACTTCTGTGCAATGTGTCTTGCTTCCCAACCATGCCCCGCGGTCACTTGTCCCTCCATAGAATCCTAGGTGACTCGACTACCTTTGATATCATTCACCTTATGCGCTTTTGTTCTCGTACTGGCATCCTTAGTGATATTTAGCGCCTTTTGAATATACCGCACTTTTGATCGTACTACATAGCCTTCTCAGCTTGGTGCCTTCTTTTGATTGCTTACTTCTGTGCAATAAAGCAATGGTAACACCATGATGGCAGCACAAACTCCATGATACTCTGTTGTATCTGAATTTTTTATATTAATGAAAAGGACAAAATTGAGGCACAAAAACCAGTGTCAATTACTGGGTAATTCGTAATTTCTATAATTTTCTGTGATTTTTTTTCTAACCATAATTAGTCCATTACAAAAATTGCCTCAGGAACATTGAATTACAGTACAATAAACATATTTTTGCTTCAAATAGAATCCTTTTTTGGTGTGTAAGCATATGGTGTGACTCCAGTGTTTTAGTATGGCTTACATCTGGCTTACATATCATATCTTACATCTTATGGCTTACATAAATTGCATTTCTTTTTTTTTTTTTTTTTTTTTTTTTTTTACTATATTTCTGAAGAGATTGATCAAGTGGAAATGTATACTAAATATTCAGGTGCAATTTATATTGTTGATGACAAGAAGGAAGTCGGTCACCAACTCTCCCTCATTTCTTAAAACATGTAACAGCTTTTCCATATTTACAGCTTCTAGTATTAATGAATTCTATACTATTTATATATTTGACCTTGTTTTTGTTTAAACAGCTTTCATGGTTTGACAGTGAAAATACTATACAAACAAAAAAATTGTGGTGGCAAGATACTGGTGTGCGAGGAAGGGTTCACATCATAGCACCCAATCTTACCCTAGTATTTTTTTTCTTTTTTGCTTCTTGATGGGATTAGTTACAGTTGTCTTGGTTTAGTTTGGTTAGGATGTGTCTGGATATTGATAATTCTGGTTTGGATTACTAATCTTGGAAAAGGAAGTACTTCACACAAAACCTTAACCGTCATTGGTTGGGACGAAAAACTACATTGGACAAGTTTGGTCCAGTTCATTATGCAGTAGTTTGTTAGGGTAAAGTTCTACTAGACAGACCTGGATAAGAGTCAGCACTGAATAACTGGTTTTTTTTTAGTCTGTGATGTCGCATGACTTTTCCGATCTTCACTTTCATCCTTCACTTCTGATGATGAAGATAATCATCACTACCATTCCATCATTCATATAATAATTGCTTCTATGTTTGCTGTACTGTTCTACCTTCATCCACTAATAAAATGTCCTCCTGTATCATATCTTGAGAATACCTTTGTGTATCTGCTTGTAACTTTCAAAACCTGTTTTTGATAGTATAGTTCAGTTTGAGATTACTTTTGTACAGTGTTTTGTTTTAACCATTTTATCCATTTGTTGTTGGAGGGGGTGATGCCTCGTACTATACAGTATCTTGAAATTAATTGTAGTAATCCCCAGAGTTTCTACGCCTGCTTTAATCATTCCCATTGACAAGACAGGAAGCTTGTACTTAGGTTTATTCAGGACCTGTAGGTCAACTATTGACCATTCCAAGGACTCGACCCACAACAGTTGGCCAACTATTTACTACTAGGTGAACAGAGACAGTGAAAGAAACCTTGCCCAATTATTTCAGTCCCACATAGGGAGATTGAACCCTGGATCCTGGGTTGTGAGTCAAGCACAGTGTTTTTTTTTTTTACATTTAAATTTAGTATATTGATCTTTGGCAATTATTATTCAATTTACTATACTGTATTGTATTTATTTTCAAGAATCTGTCCAGTTGGTGAAAATTTGTATAAATACCTATTTATATTGTATACATATGGTATGTATATACTAAGGATGTAATTTTTGAGTATATTTTTATTATAGTCTTTCATTGTTAACAGTAATATATTCTGTGTAAATATTTATAATAATACCAGTGGGTAGGCTGGCAATAATTGCTTTAGATTAATTATTAATCTGTAATGAAACTTGTCACTGGTAATAAATGATAACTCCCCTACTTGCAAAACTATTGGTAATCTGATACCTCATGCCTCCTATTCTCCAACTCTATTACCCAAACCAATCAACCCCAATCTCTCCACCAAACACTCGCACTCCGTAACCCACCACTACCACCCCTTTCCTTACCTTCTAATACCAGCACCCACTACATCCTTCCCTTCTTTGCACCACACCCTCAACCATGCTCTTCCTCTCACCATCATTATGTTCTACATGCTCATTATACCCTCATATACTCATTGCATCCCATGTACTCTCATTACAAGATTGCAGGCTAAACAGGCCCACGGATTCCGTTATTGATCAGCCTCGTGGGACAAACCACATATAATGTTTCACCAGTGTAGTTATTTTATGTAAATACTTTTTTTGTTTTTGTTGTAAATTACAAAACAAGTAAGTTCACCTCTGCTGTTTTATGGTAGTCAATAAATTGCACATTTAATAGGTTATTTGGCAAATGTAAAGGTACTCAAGATGGATAGGTATTGCATTTTACAAGTTATATTTGCAGAACACATTTATATTACAGTAATACAG